AGTTTTTTCTAGTGTTTTAAACATGAATTGGGGCTGTACTTTGTCAAATGCTTTTTCTGCATCTATTTATGTTTCTTGACATTTTAAGAGAAAAATGTTTTTTCTTTGGAGAGTCATAGATATATTGGCTTAAGCACGCCAACCAATAAAGATAGTTTYTGTCCTCATGGACTTTGTAGTATAGAAAAGTAGATTTAAAAGGAGTTACTAGAATACYATGGGTTGATTTTTATTTATGATAGAGGAAATTTAAGGGCTTGGAAAACTCAGCAGTAGGATTCTAGGATAGGAGTTTAAGCTGAGAAGGGGAAGGAATGAATGAGGGGAAGGAATGAATTTTAGTTAGGCTAAAATGAACTTTATAGTTCTTTGCCTTTGAATGGAATCAGTTCACTGTTCCTCCWGGCTACAGAGGGGAATTAATATGAAGCATAAAGAACATGTAAATAATTCCAAACCTACAAAAGAGGTCAGGTAACTTTATAGTTTAATATTGAATTGGTAATGTGGACATACATAAATCCTGTGTATTTTAARTAAATTGTAAAATGCAAACATTATTTGCCCACAGATCTATTTGTCTAATGCTTCTGGTGAGTGATTAAGTTCTAGACAGAAGAAGAACATTGTTTTGTTGTGAATGTGCTAGGCTATTGYTCCATGTGATACTACCATTGGTGATAAGTTTTTGATGGGCAGATTAGCACAATTAGATGGGATTAATTTYTTTTCATTTTTGAACTACTTAAATCTATAGTAAATAGGAGGTGGTYGCACATGTCTGTAATCCCACCTACTAGGGAGGTTAGGGAGGTTGAGGCTGGAGAATCTCAAGTTTGAGGCCAATCTTGATAATTTAGTGAGACCTTGTCTCAAAAAAAAAAATGAATTTTAAAAAACGGTGAGGAGGCTGGGAATGTAGGTCAGTGGTAATAAAGCACCAGAGAGATTCAACCCCCAGTATTGGGGGTAGGGTGATGAGGGTAGACTTCATAGGAAAAAAAAAAAAAGAACTCAAAAGTTTTTGACTAATGAGAATCAAGTTCTTGCTACATAGAACAACAATTTCATGCTCTTGGACAAAGTGAAATATATTCCTTGAGCCAATTTTAATCTGTAAGTAAGGTTAAGGGAATATCCCACATCTAGYTGTAGTAGAGTATTTTGTTGAAAAGAGAATATACTACTTTGTTGTATTGTGGGGAATATAATGTTGATTGAAATTCTTAGTAATTATTTAAGGAAAAAACCCATCAAATTGAATGAAAACACAAATCTTTTCATTTGCAAATTTAGAGAAACATTTTGAATAGCCTTTAATTGGCAGTTCTGTGAAACTAGCTATGATTATAGGAGAAAACGAATTAAAAGATAAGGTCACGTCTTAAATACGAATTATTCAAAATATTTCCTTGTGGAATGCTTGGTAGAAGAGTTCCTCTAGCTCTGGCAGCTGTCTTGCCACATAGGATTTACCTGATCTTCAGTCCAAATGTGCACATCTGCTCCACATGTTCCTGGCCTTTATCAACACCAATTCTAGTGGATGTTTAGGGGATAGGAGAATCCAACTTGCGTTTTYGGTGATGTATACAGTACACAATTTTAATGGTCTTCTAGGTTCCAAWATATTCTGCTAGGTCATCAGACAGTTATTAAATTAAAGTTCCGCAGAGAAATTGAAACTTAAAGATGTTGTARTTTGGTAGAATAATCTAAGAAATAGAATAGTACGTAGAATTTCTTTGAGAATAGTGTTTTCTGCTTTTATTGGAAATTAAATGACTCTTGTTTGAACCATATGACCTGGAAAGTTCCATTATATAATAATTATTCATTTTTAAGGGTACATGACTCAAAGGTAATAAGGTGTGGTAACATTATTTCTTAATGGTTCTTTGTACTATAGTTATAGAAGTTATTTTCAGCAATTCTKTTATTGCTGGAGCAGTTAGAGATGAGGGTAAAGATGAAATCCTAGATAAATTCACCTCACTTTTAAAAAACATCTKTTTTTTGAAAAATGTCTATTGCAATTACCAACAAATAAAAGATGTAGCTGATTTGAGTTTTTATTTTTTCTTAATATTACTGTCATTTATCCAGTGTGTCCAAGAATCATTAAAGTGAGAAAGTGTAAATTATGTTGTTATTAATAAATAAAACAATCAGTCATATCTGGAACTTTAATTTCTTTAACAATCTATTTTATTTCCTTGAGAAGATGTTAAAAATTTGCTCAGAATTTTTATGAGTATGGTTTTAATTATAATTTGTAATTAATATTATTTTATGAGGATTAATAAAGCCTTATAATTTTGCAGGCCTWATCACAACAACATCAAGAAAACTAGACCGAGAACAGCAGAATGAACACATATTAGAAGTAAGCACTTTTTAATTTTAATTAGTTTAAAATATTTGTAATTATAAATRTCTTAAGAAAAAAAGATCTCGCTCCCAGTAAACCAGCATGCATAGCTGTTAATATCTTGGTATATTAGTTTCTGGCCATTAATAAAGAGCAAAATAAAGGAAACATTATGAATGTAGCTCATCCCTTTTATCCCCCAATTCTTTCACCAGAAAGCAGGGTTGCTGCCCTCTGTTCGATTCTAGTTCTTGTACTTCGTACATACATACATAGACACACAGCAAATACAGCTTTTATTGGAAATAAATAATCAATGCCATCTGGAATTTATTTTTACTTATTATAAGTGATTTTTTCTGCATACCTCCTGTAGCTTTCTTTTTTCTCARTATTGTTTTTGAGATATATTGGTATTTATAGATTTAGATTAACCTTTTGAATTATCATTAGCTATGAGTTTGTTTCTAGATTTTTTTTATTCTTTAGTAATTGCATTATTAGGCATTTTAAAATCATTTTTTTTTTCTTTTTAAAGACTTTACTACTTGTAAATGTCYTTTTCTAATAAGGATTCTCATTCTCATGGCTTATTTAAAAATGCTTCTAATCCTTAAAAATAAAACAAAACCTTAGCTTCACCTCATAAGTACCTGTTTCTGGCTGGTAATAAACAGGTTGCAAAAGGGGGCTGGGAATAGCTGGGAGGAGGAAGGTACTGTAATGTACCATTCTGTAATCTGCCATTGCCTGCAGAGCCACAGAAGCCAAGACAGAGGCAGCAGGTGGAAAGGGAAACCCAGCAGAACAAACCTGTTTCCTCTGTTGACACAGTTTTATTACATGTTAAAGGCTCGTGTTGATTCTTGGAGCTAGACCTGGAAAAGCCGTGTGCTTTGGTAGAACTTTCAAGATAATATTAAGACGTTGATGGGAAATAAGTTTTTGTGTTTGTTTACAGATCTTTATGTCCATCTGTAGACCTTTGGTAGTGGTATATTGGAAAGCCAGCGTTGGCATTGATTTAGCTGTCTGAAAGAGGAGATCTCTAGTTCTATCACAGGGCTGGGAAAGTACTGGTTATTTAACTTAAACTTAGCAACTGTTTAGTGATGAATATTAAAAACATAGTGCTTGATTGTGGTTCTCTTTTCATTTTTCTTCTTTTTTTTTGTAAAGATTATATAAAAAGATCAAAAGGACATGTCTTGGAGTTAAAGTAATATTTTGCTTTATTCTAAAAACCTTCAAGAACTTCATGAACCTTAAGTAACATGAAGTATCTACCTTACTTACATATGCTAGCCAAGCGCAGTGGTACAAACCTGTAAGCCCAGCAACTCAGGAGTGAGGCAGGAGAATCATAACTTCAAGGCCAGCCTCACCATCTTAGCACGGCCCCAAGCAAGCAACTTAGTTGAGTCTCTGTCTCAAAATAAAAAAGAAAAGGGGCTAGGGACATAGCTTAGTGGTAAAGTACCCCTGCGTTCAAGCTCTAGTACTAAAACCAGAAGAAAAAAATTCCTGACAAGTACCAYCAGGATGTATTCATGCTTTTATAAATAGGATATAAAGTTACCAAATTTCAAAGAGGAAATAGTTTCATGGAAACTTAATCTATACTTATGTATTAATAACTTAGTAATTAATTTGGAAAGAGATGTTGGTGTAGGTGAGGGGAGAATAATTATTACTGAGGTCATTACTTTTAAGGCATGTATTACCATAAACATGAACTTTTAAGGGTGAAATTGACTCATGCATGTAGAAACAGTTTACCRGTGCAGGCCTCAAGAATCTCTGATCTTTATCCCTAAACTTAATTTGTGGGTAATTYACTTAAAATGGAACTTACTTTACATTGCTATTACTGAAACCATTAAATTGGTATTAAATGTAAATGTTTATGTCCACCTTCCTAAGCATTAAAGACTTCTGTATAAGAAAACAGCCAAACAAAATAAAATAATGATTACTAGTATTTAAATGTGTAATACTTAGCATAGACTTTAAAATGATGCTTCAGCATATTTTATGGATGAAGCTTAAAAATGACAGTGTTTTAATGCAGTATTATGGATAATTTATATTTAAGTGGACAGAATATTTTTTAAAAAGGACTTTAAATATTTTAAGCAGAATCTTTATCCCTTTCGTGACCTAAAAATATTAAATTTTTAGTTGCTTATCATTTTGGTAAAGTCACCTTTTAGAGSTACAGTAGTTCAAGGGGACTGTAAGAAGTCTCTCTCTCAGCCATTGCCCAGCTTCTCCTGTCCCTATCTCTACAATTGGGAAAAGTTGCCCTTACCTCCTTACAGTGTTGTTGACAGAATGAGAAGAGATGTATGGGCCATATTGTTATGTGACCTGTAGAAGTTTATATAAATGGTGATTCTCATTAGGAAGACGGTGTTTACTTTTTATATATCTTAAAAACACTCGTTGATCTATTACCTTTAAAAAACAGGTTACTGTGACCGACAATGGTACTCCCCCCAGATCAACCATTGCAAGAGTAATTGTGAAAATCCTTGATGAAAATGACAACAAACCTCAGTTCCTGCAGAAGTTCTACAAGATCAGACTCCCAGAGCGGGAAAAGCCAGAAAGAAACTCCAAACGAGAGCCTCTGTATCGCGTTGTAGCTACAGACAAAGATGAAGGTCCCAACGCAGAAATCTCCTATAGCATCGAGGATGGAAATGATAATGGCAAATTTTTTATTGAGCCAAAAACTGGAGTGGTTTCATCCAAAAAGTTCTCTGCAGCTGGAGAATATGACATTCTTTCAGTGAGTTCAGTTCAGAACATAGTCTCTGAATTTCTTAAGTGCTTTGATTATAAACCTCATCTCTTATATTGGCAAATAGCTTCAGTGTTTGTGACCTAATAATTAGGCAATCCTTTGTAATATTTGAGAAGTATAGGTTTATTTATTTATTTTTAACTTTCCAGCTTTGACTCCAGTTGCCTATTATTGGTGTTGAGTATGGTCAAGAAGTAGTTGCTCTTTTCTTCAAGCGTTAAATACATGGCATATTCAGATACAAATATGAAATGTTTGAAAGTGGCTCAGTTTCAGAAACCAATCTGTTTTAGAATGTATCTTATGATTTGCTGTTTTTATCCTCTGTTCTTATTTTATAGATTAAGGCAGTTGATAATGGTCGCCCTCAAAAGTCATCAACCACTAGACTTCATATTGAATGGATCTCCAAACCCAAACCATCTCTGGAGCCAATTTCATTTGAAGAATCATTTTTTACCTTTACTGTAATGGAAAGTGATCCTGTTGCTCATATGATTGGAGTAATATCTGTTGAGCCTGCTGGCACACCCCTTTGGTTTGATATAATTGGTAAGCATTGCTTGTCATTTTCAGTGTCCTTTATAGGTTACACTGAGGAGAAACTTGCACATGGTTTTCTGATTTTTGCATACATCTCATAATTTAAAATGAGAATAAGATCTGTGGGTAGAGAATTTGCTTTAAACTAATCACTGGATCAGGGAGTTACAGAGAAAACTGAATGTTTTAATTATGTATCATACACACATAAAACATAACACATTATTTTTAGTAAATATGATTAGAACATTTGAAATAGCTGCTTAGGTGACTGTCATATGCCCATGTTGAATATAAATGCTAACAGATTTTGATTTGTATAACTTAAAAACTATAGTGCCAGCTATAGTTTTATCTTAGGCTTTTTAGGTTTTTTCGCCTTATTTTTAGTAGGAGATAGGGTATGTTAGATTAATTAATCCTTTTATAAAATTTTACATGCTAAGCCAATTCCTTTTTTTTTGTCATTTCATTTAGTTCCCACATAGAATATAATACCCTATTCAGCATAACTTTTTAAGAGTATGCATTAGACTTTGACATCTAAGATCTTTTCATTCTGTTTTTATTTCCACACTATTTTAATTACAAGCCTATTTAAGACCAAAAGTATGTGATATGATTCATCTCTAGTTGGCACTTTATATTCCTCTTCCCTCTTCCACCCCCTCGCTCTATTACCTCCAAATACTTTTTCAGAACATTGGAGCTGGTGGGACATAGGCTGCAAGGATCACAGGGTATATGTGGTACAGGTTGTCCTCTTCAAATTCACACTACACCGTTGGATTATTTTCCCTGATTTGGGGCATTTGTTGGAATAGTTAATTGACCACACCTCTGAAATTATTAGTTTCAAAGAAAAAAAWTATTTTCATGGTTAACTATAATTAAAATAGTTTGTTTACTTTCTCTGAACTTATGCCACATTTCCAGATTAGCAGGATGCAGTTGGTGTAGTATCTGACTTTACTGTTCAATACTTACTGTGTATGGAACTGGTTTGATGATTGTTCTTCTTGTTCTTTGCTTGCTTTCCATGCTTGCTTGCTTCTTTTGGCTGTGCCAGGAGATACACTTGCTAGAGAAGTTTTTTACATCTTTCAGATGACTTGTGACCCGAACTGTACAGCAGAAGGTATCTGCTGAGATCACATAATTTGCTTCAGATTATGAGATCTAAAATAAAAGCATTAATTTTTCTGAGAACATTTTTATTTCCAGTGGTTATTTTTCATTACTGTTTCTTTTCATAGTGTGCACGTGGTCACGCATTCCAGTTGCAAACATGTCATCTTTTAATCATCCCTAGATCCTTAGGTTTCACTTAAGACCTCATATGTGTATATGTTGTTTTGCTTTCTGGTTAGATATAATAGTAGAAATTCATCARGACCATAAGCCTTTATTTTCATTCCTTTTCATCTCATCAGTTTAAATACTTAAAGTACAATGGATTTAAGAAGAGTTTTACTTAGAATACAATTGGGATGTATTGGGGTAGTATTAGTAGGACAGAAAATTTTGTTTGATTAAGCAATGATTTTGATAACAATTTGTTTTCAAATAGCTATTTAAGTTAGAGTTAACTATCACTATTTTTTCAGGGTTAACGTTTGTTTAGAATGATTGTTTTATTGTCAGTAGGTTTAAAATATCACAACTTAAAAAATATTTAAACTATTAAATGACTAGTGATGTGTTCATTTAGTCACTGAAATAAATTAAGTAAATATTCAAATCTCTGAAAAACAAATTGAAATTGATTTAWTGGCAACATTAGCAGTTTTTCTGTTTTTGAAGTTGCTTTCTGTTTTCCTCTAAATTCATGGCTTCCTTGACAATTAGGATTCAGTTTTGCCTTAAAAGCATTATCTTTCTAGTTGGTCAGTCTTTTCTTGCTTTCAAAATGCTTGCTCCTTGGAATCACTTTGATCATTATGTTCAGAGTCTTTTTTTACTGATATTTAATATTAGAATGCCACACACAAAAACAACGGATTTTCATTCTGTGATTTGTTTTAACTCTTCTCTTTGTCCTAATTTAAACTAGGTGGCAACTATGATAGTCACTTTGATGTGGACAAGGGGACTGGAACCATCATTGTTGCCAAACCTCTTGATGCAGAACAAAAATCAAACTATAACCTGACAGTTGAGGCTACAGATGGAACGACCACTATCCTTACTCAGGTAAGTGAATTACTAATGATGTGTTTGTCAGAGGAGCGTTGAAATACTGTTTTAATTTCAGGGCCCACAAACAGTATGAGCAGCCAATTTTGCCTTTTGAGGTTCCAGAGTCAGAAATTAGTATATTGATGTAGTTTATGTACAAACACACCAAGAATTTTTATTTAGAGAAAGAAAATTAACAGCAGTCCCARTTTGGGTTTTGCATGTGATTAAGCAGTTCAAAAAATTTTACAGAAGAGTTAAAACTGAACTACCCAGTTGTTATGGCATCAAAATCCCCTTAATTTTATATTCATGTCTGAACTATATTAACACAGAGTATWTCGCTATAGTGGATGAAGTGTACAAGTCATTTTCATGAAAGCAGATTAAAGTGATTAATTAGTCTTTAAATTACTTTCCCTCCCCCTTGGCTAATAACTGGAGTTGTGTAAAAATTACTRATTAAATTATTCTGAGAATTCTAAGAATCCCTTTAACACCATTATTTGCTCCTATCTGTTGATTAAGAGATGACCAGATTGCTAAATGTTAAGTGCCTACAAATTAAGTTAAATTTTCTTGAATTCTCATCATGAGTTGTGGGAGATTTACAAAAGGAACGTTCTTGGATGAATAATCATTGTGGTGTTTCATTWGTTTAACAAATACTTGTTGAACACTTGGTATGTGACAGGTACTGTTTTATAAGCTGAATAATGGGTAATAATAGGCAAGACTCCTCCTGCCTTAGAGTTCACAATAGGATGGTGGAAATCATATACAAGGCTTCTGTATGATGTATATATCCTTAAAAAGGAATGCTTCTGGATTCCAGTTTYCTATCTTTAGAGTATTTTACATCTTAACCTGTTAAATCATTTAGTTGCATTACAGAATAATCCTAGTYTCATGTATTTCAATTAATTAATAGGTATTTAAGTATTTAAAGCCAGTTGTGAAAATAGTTTATTCCTTTCTCCAAATAGTTGTGCTTTTGAATTTATGTAAAATTATTTTTGTTTGCTATACTCTACGCTTTGGGGGGGTCATTTTGAGATTTCAATTAAAAGTTGAATCACGGTATTAAAGTTATGATTTTGTGACTGTTCTCATTCTACAGGCAAGAAGAATCAGCTTTCTCTCTTTATAAATAAACCCCTGAAGTTAAAACTTCAGAGCCTGAAAGTGAGAATCAAAAATAGTAGTAAATCTAGCAGAGTAATTCTGAGTTCAGAAGTTTAACAAATAGAACTCTGTGTGGTCCAGTTTACATGATTAACTGGAAATCTATTAAGAGAAACTTAATAAGCTGTAGATCACTTGTTATATATGCCAATAATTAACAATTCATATCTTCCCCCAAATTGTATTTTTAGTTAGTACAATTGAATGCTTAGAATGGAATATGTGTGTTTATTGACTAAAATCCTTATAACACTAAGGAGATATATTCTGATTTTCTCAATTCCAGTGCTTCATTTATACGTCKGTAATTTCATTTAGAGTCATTTTCAGAGAGTCTTTAATGATAACCTAATGAATTGCTARCAAGGAAACATAGTCAGAATGGAAGAGAATGGTTACATAGTCTAGGTTGACCTGTCATGGTGTGGGACAAAGGGAACAATAAGTAATTAGGTTTAGGTTTCTAGTCTGGGACTGAGAACAGAGAGATACTAATCTGGGAGACAGCAGAGCAGCAGATACTACAGGAAGAGCAACACAGAAGTTTGGAACAGTTCTGATAAGCCACACCACACAGCAAGAGACATGTGGGTTTGTAAGTAAACTCAAGAACCAACAGAGCAGGTTTTTGCATCTAAGTCAGTAGCAGCAGATGCCASATTTACGTAGGTTTAGAACATTAAAGAGGGCATTGTCCTTCACGCACAGTGCATCCTCAGCAAAGTAGGAACTGAAATTGGGCAGCGTCGGTGTCAGTGTTGTGCTGAAACAACTCTCCTTGCTTTCCTGTCCTGCCAAGTTTCTGCTTAGGATGCTGACCAGCATTAATTTGAGTCATTTTGCTTTATCTTTTTTGTCTTTGTCTTGCCAGGTAATTTTCCAAATTCAGCCAACCTTTTTTCTTYCCTCCCTCCCTCCTTCCCTCTCTCCCTCAAAACAGCTTTGCTTTCATGCTTTCTTTCAGTTTCTCTTGATCCTGAGCATTACATACTCTGGAGCAGGCATCTTGATTTTAGTCTCATTCCTACATCTTGCTTTTACCCATGGACAATCTCTAATCCTCTCTACTTGCATTTTCTCATCTGAAAAATGGGTATAGGGTTAACTATCCTTAATTTTTTATAAGGATTAAGTAAGATGGCACATAAGAGTCTTTGCTCTTAAAGATCTTAAAACCTATCACCCAGGAAGTATCTTAAGAGTATTGCTGCCTGTCAGAACTGGTGCAGGCTCTTGTCAGTCACCCTACCCCCAGTACTTGATTTACCTTCCTACCTCGATTCTCTTTTCTTTCAATTCATCTTATGCTGCCTGCTACTCGGAGGGTCTACCCGACTGAGCAGAGGAGGTGAAGGTAGATTTGCTCTGAAAAGTAGGTTCAGAGCACACAGGATATGTAGTCCTGCAGCCTCAGCTCAGGAGTCAAGGCGCTGTATGTTTGGTCCCAGTCTCACCTCTTACCTTCATGTCTTTGACCAAGCTCTTCCCAGTACACATTTACCTACCAACCTAAAACCTACTCAAGCAAAATTTTACTCCATTCTTAAGAGTTTTTGGAATGTTCCAGGTGGTCTCAAGACTTAAAAACTTAGATGATAATATATGAGACATAGTTAAATTTCATAGTGCAAGACATTGCCCAGTGAGTTTGAAAACTTTATGAGGGCAGAACTACTACCGTACACTTGTCTTACCCCCTCAGTTCTGTGTGGGTAAATGCTGATAAATGTGTTCAGCAACCTTACTAAGACCAAGTATTTTAACTTCCAGCTCTTTCTATTTTATAGTGATGAATTGATTTTGGAGCAGGATTAAACATCTCTGCCCAATACCTTCTCCATGGTTAAAAACAAAAAATATTAAGTTCCTTGCGGACATAGGTATGTTCTGATTTGGTCTGTAGAAATTACCTTAATAGCTGGGCATGTTGGCACAGGCCTGGAATCCTAGCAGCTTAGGAGGCTGTGGGAGAAGGATCCAGATTCAAAGTCAGTTTCAGCAACTCAGTGAGACCCTGTCTCTAAATAAAATACAAAAAAGGRCTGGGGATATGATGCTCAGTGGTTAAGTGCCCTAGGTCCAATCCCTGATTTAAAAAAAAAAAAAAAAAATTGCCTTCCTCATACCTTTGGTTCATCTTTGACATTTATGAMTGAAGTGTTTGCAGTTTTGTTTTAAATGTATTTAACGTAAATGTAAACCTGTCATTGATGGTGTAGAGTTCTGTTAGAACACTGCTGTGGACCTGTGAAAAGGTCTCTGTTCATATGCCTTCATTAGTGTGGTTAATGGTTTTACCTGTGCTAGGACTTTGATCTTCAGGCCACTTAGGACTAACAAACCCTTTTGTTCTGAAAGAGTCAAKGAAGCTTAGATTTCTTGTTCATAAACTATCTTTTGTGATTGGTGCTGGTAAGGCTGATACTATGCCTTATCCATATACATCTTTCCGTTCTGAAAAGTAGTCATTGTACTGTCCAGGTAAAATTTTTTGTCATTTTAAAATTTACCTTAGAACTGAGTTTTTTGACATTGGCTCTTTTTTCTCCTCTGAAACTTTTGTTTGATGTTGACATACTTAACAGTTTTATTTCAATCTGTTTAAACTGATTTTAGGAAATAAACACCTTTCTACTTACGCATATAGGTCTTAAAAGAAAAYTTAAAAACATTTTCTTTTTCTTTTTTGGTYGTGCTAGGGATCAAACCCAGAGCACCCCAGAGCCTTATGCATGCTAAGCAGGTACTCTATCACTGATCCCCATCCCCTGCTCTAAAAACATTTATRATTTTTTTCTCTAATATTTAAAATCTTAACAGGAATTTGTAGTCTCAAATGAGAAGGAGAAATAGAAAAACCATCTATCACTCCCCTCAGTAGATTAGTAGTTAAATATTCAAATGTGGTATAGGAAGTAAGTCTTGTATAAATCCTGGCAAAGTAAATTGTCTGATTTCTTTCCATGAGTAGTCTACAAAGGTTTTCTGTGTGGACACCTAAGAGATATTAAGTCTATATTTCATAAAGAAATGTTAATTATGAGCATCATTGTGTCTCCAAAGTCAGTTTCAAGAATTTAGGAAGGTTTTATTATCTTACTCATATTTTAAATAAGTAATATATCAGTGAGAAATTTTAAGGATATTTTTGATTCTAAATTTTCGTTCCTTTTCTCATATTTACATTACATTTTGCTAAAATAACAGCTTTTTTTCAATGTACACGTGATATATATGTCTAGATTATTTAAATGTTAAAACAATTATTAGGAATATAATGTGAGCCATTTTTSTCATTTATTATAGGTATTCATCAAAGTAATAGATACAAATGACCATCGTCCCCAGTTTTCTACATCAAAATATGAAGTTGTTATTCCTGAAGATACAGTGCCAGAAACAGAAATTTTGCAAATCAGTGCTATGGATAAGGATGAGAAAAATAAACTAATCTATACTCTGCAGAGTAGTATAGACCCATTGAGTCTCAAGAAATTTCGTCTTGATCCTGCAACTGGCTCTCTCTGTACATCTGAAAAACTAGATCATGAAGCCATTCACCAGCATGTTCTTACAGTCATGGTAAGCATCTACTTGTTCTTCTGCCTGCATGTGGCTCCTTAAACGTTTCATGTGTTTGAGAATGACAGTGATTTTTTAATGCGTGAGAAAGAAAACCCAAACAGGATTGATAATGTGTTTTCTTTTTAGGTACGGGATCAGGATGTTCCTGTAAAACGCAACTTTGCAAGGATTGTCATTAATGTCAGTGACACAAATGACCATGCCCCGTGGTTCACCAGTTCCTCCTATGAAGGGCGGGTTTATGAGTCGGCAGCTGTGGGCTCAGTCGTTTTGCAGGTTACAGCTCTGGACAAAGACAAAGGGAAAAATGCTGAAGTGCTATACTCAATTGAATCAGGTATTTTTGGACCATTCAATGTGAAAGCATATTTTCTTTTCTAAAATTAGCAATTTCTATGTATATCTGAAAAATTGCTTGAATTGATCTTTAGCTACCATTTTACATGTTAGGAATGTGGATTTTTCTTTCCTTCTTTTTTTAGAGATTGAATCCTAATAAGTTTGGGACCCAGTATTCTTAGAGAGTCACAGTATGAGCATAATTCAAGACTCTGAGAAGTCCTGCAGAAAGGAAAACTCTCTTTGACTAATTTCAGTATTTCTGAGATAATTTTAACTGAACAATCATTTTCCTCTAAAATATTGGTTAATTATGAAACACTTAGGAATGTGACATTTTACTTTTTAGTCAGTATTTCTTTTGTGCAGAGCCTATGTGTCCATGATAGAGTGCTGATTTGTCCCATTCTCCAAAAAAAGTGTCTTCTACCTATCATCTTCCTTCTGAGTTAGCTCYCCTCCACTATCTTAAACCCCCATGTTTCTTTAAAAATTGTTTCATGAGTGGTATTGGGTTGTTGCAGTAGGCCAGAGTGGGGTCTGAGACTAGAAGAAATGTTGAAAAGGCTGAGATGATGGGCTTGAGTGATCCAGGGCCAGGAAGGCCAACTGGAACTGTGTACCTGGGTGTTTTTGAATATAATCAGGCAAGAGCTTGTAGGGACTTGCTGGTGGTAACAAGGAGGATCATCAAGAAACAGTCACRGTAATGTGAAATGTTTTTGTTCTCTCTTCTGTTTTATGCTGCCATTCACTCATTCATTCATTTGTTCCATGAACTGATTGAGTTTATTTTATGTGCCAGGTGCCATAGTCATAGCATTTGTGCTTGTGCTTGAGARATAACAGGTTACCATTGGTCCACAAATGGACATATGTGTTCTAAAAGATTTCTGCTCTAGAGCATGTGATTGCACAGTTAAAAATTTCATTGCTTTGAGACTTTCCTTCCTCATGCCAAATACTCTTGAGTAAATGATGAAATATTGAGAAAGTGGTTTGATTTTTTTTCCACCTTCCTCAGTGCCATTGTTAGTACAAGAAATATTGTTTCTTTCATTCTAATCTTCATAATGGTTTTAGAGAATTGAAATCTTCTGCTTTCCTTGATTTCTGTTGTTATTAAGTGCAGAGCTCTATCTATTTAGATGTGGTCTCTCCTATACATTAGATTCCCTAGTGTTTAGATTATCTATAGATCATAAAATAAAAATCTGAGTAAATGGAGAATAATTTTTACACAATACTTACTTTTCTACTTTATGTGCTTAAACTATTCTTATTTCTTTACATATTTGAAATTTCATGTGTTTCCCATAAAATAACTGAATTGAGTTTATTATTCACAAATATGATTTTATATACTGTCTGTGATTGCAGTGTTGAAATGCATTGTAGTATAGTTAGTGACTTGAATACAAGTATTTTTCCACTGGTTCAAAAATTTAGCAGTTAGAAAAACAGTACATTCCATTTGTGCATGCCTGAGCGTTTCAATAAAGTAATTTTGTCAYAGACAAACTGGCTGGGTTTATGTAGGAGAAAATGTTAAACTTTCCCTTAGCTTTCACATAATTTTCAACAACTGGGTGGTTAAAATATGATTGTTGGTGTCTRAGTCAAGGCATGTGCATTCTTCAAATGCTTGTAATGACTGATGGGATTASTAATTTGGTATTCTAAGAATGGAACTCTTATCTGCCCTCAAAGAATAGATAGTACCAATGGGCTATTCTAATATGGCATTAGAGCTTTTAATGTGTTTTTATAGTTTTGGTAATGTAAAGTTATGCTAAACAATTATTTCTTAGGAAACCATTACCAGGAAAATGCAGTAGAATTGTTTGTATGTACATCTTTTGGTATGGTATGAACTATAAAATGTTCTTACTGCCTTTTATTTATCAGTGTATCCATAATCAGCTGCTTCCTAATTTGTGTCAGATTACATTTAATAAAGTTCAAAAGACTAGTTATAAATTCCATCCACAACACTGTATGTTTAATTAGCAGCAATTTATTGAGCAAAAGGTTTAGTCTGATTAGGAGTCTTTAGGGGAAAAGGAATTTAATTAAAAGATATTTTCAGTATCATTTGGGCTATGCACTAGAGACACATCAGTGCCATACTCTGAGCCATGTGGTATTTTCTTCTTTTTAGGTTATTTTWAAAAGTAGATTATTGGAACATTCCTACTATTGTTATGACACCTGGAAATACATTCAGTAAATACATTTATTGATTTGAATTGTTTTTTTTTCTCCAAGGTCACGTTAAATGTAATTACAGTGAAGTTTGGTAAAGGTTGCCTTACTTTGATTAGCCTTTACTGAATGAACATCTGCAGTGTGTCAATCACAAGAAGAAACAAGACTCTCCTGCACATCTTTCTTACTTGCTCTGTGGGGGAGATACAAAATGGGCGTGTTTGTTCAGACAATTTCCCTGTTTAAATACAGAGACCAATATAAAGTTAAAATATTCCAGCTAAAGTAAATTACTAAGACCTCAACTTTTGCAGCTCAATGCCTTTCTGATTGGTTCGTAAAAACCATATGTATATTTCAGTGTGGGCAAATGTAACTGTTAGTTATACACCAGTCAGCAGCCCTTGTTGTTTTTGCACAAAAATACGTTGCTTTCTCTTCTGTATGTCTGATGCTTTCTGCCTCTTTGTGGGTGTGAGAGAGAGAGAGAGAGAGAAAGAAAGATCCATACATTAAATCACTGGCTAGGTTTCTGTTGAACCTTCTTGGTATCAGTGACAAGTTCAGAGCTACCTTTTTAAAAACTCAAGCTACTCCAGATGATGAAGAATGTTTCTAAATTTCTTATGGCTGATAAAGAACAAGATTGTCATACATACTGTTAAAACAACAACAACAACAACAAAAACAGGTAAAGAACAGAAATCTCTATACTGAATAGGGAGGTCAAGGAAGGCAAGAAATGAATGGAGAAGACGGAGAAASAGCTAGGGAAGGCGGTTCTAGGAAAGGACACACCAAATTCAAAGGCCTGAGAGAATATTAACTCCTTCATTTGAAGCCTTGCCTATTTGAAGCTTTTCTGGCAAAAYAAAATTTCACTATAGAAAATAAGAGAAATATGGGGCTGGCGTTGTGGCTCAGTGGTAGAGTGCTCACCTAGCATGTGTGAGGCACTGGGTTTGATCTTCAGCACCACATAAAAGTAAATAAGTAATATAAAGGTTTAAAAAAAAGAATGCTTAAAAAAAAGAAAAGAGAAATATATGTCAATGGGCGAGTATAAATTTTGGGGGGTGGAGAAGGTAGCTGCCAAGGGTTACCATGGTCTCCCATGTCTTGCCAGGCCAGTCTGTCACGGKTTTGAAAGATAAAGATGATGTACGGGATAGAATGAGAAAAGCATCCCTGAGTTCTAATGACGGCCTAAAAATCATTGAGAGAGAACCTGGGATCATTGGCTCATTTAAATAGAGACAGTCCGGATATTAGTGTCTGAGCAGCCTGGCAGAAGCTGCAGGACTCCATCCTTAGGCCAGAGTTCAGTCCAGAGCTGCAGGTTCTAGAGAAACCCTGGCTTCCTCCCTGTTGCAGACTGAGGCACCGCCTTGGGGTCTGGACACAGAGCCAGGGAGACTTAATGAAAACCAGGCTGGGTCTGGCCTCAAAAAATTGTCATGGATTTTTGGAAAACGTATTAAAGGAAGGAAATGAAGACTGTAGAGGAAGTGTTTACTGTTAATGATGTGGAGAAAGAAGTGCTGGACTAATTCCCTGGTTTGCACATCACACTAAGCAGTTCTGGTCTATGAAGTACCATACTGATTGCAAACCTAGAGGAAAGATAATTTAAGAACACAATTAAGAAGCTTGTTTTGGGGAAGCATAATAGTTCTTTGGGGGGAAAATAAATGTAGTACTATAAATTCTGCATATTTGTTTATGAAACCAAAAAGGGATGGAAGGCTTACGGATGGATCTATCCTAAATACTCTCATACTGCTTTGATCTATGCAAAAAAAAAAAAAAAAAAGCTATAGGAATTGCTGGTTTCTTGAAAAGACACAAAATTATGGGATTTTTTTTTTTGGAGTTGAGGTTATAGCTAAATATATAGCCTGGAAAGGTTTAAAGAAAATTAAGCAAAACGATGTGTCCTACTAGTTTATTTCTCAGGTGCAGCACTATTAACATTTTGGACCAGAAAATTTTTATCTTGGGGGGTCTGTCCTATGCATGGTAAGATGTTTAGCAGCATCCCTGTTCTCTACCACCAGATGCTAGTAACGCTTTCTCCCTCTAAGTTGGGAAAACCAAAAGTATCTCCAGACATTGCCAGATGTGTCCTTGGGAACAAAATTGCCCCTACTTGAAAACCACTGACTAGAAGATAAATTGGGCTGAAAAAGGTTATGAAGGAACTATTGTTGGAATCTTTAAAACCTGTAAAGTAGGTCATTCCTCCGTACACCAAATATTGAAAATAACGGACAGCTCTCTAGAATCTTGATGTAAATTCTCCCAGTGAATTGAAATCTTCCTTTTCATAATTAATTAGATCGCTATGAATTTGCAAATGCAAATATATTCCAGAAGGCTTTTGAGGAACTATTGGAAAATCATTAACTCAGATGCTTTATGGAGAGACAACYATGTCTTTCCAAAACATATTTCCAGTTCAGACAACAGAATGAGTTTTGGCTTTAGGTACAAAATGATATTTCTTCTGTTTCTTGTAGTCAAATTTCTGAAAAACATGCCTTATTTTAGATGGATTAAAATGAAACAGGAAACAGTTGATGGTTCCATTCAAATATTCATGTCCTCTGCATTTCTGCTTAATTTCAAAATATCATTTTAAAAGATACTTTTGTTTCTCTTTGTCCAGCTACTACTATTACGTCTCATATCTTCTAACATGTATTTTTTCCCCTCTTTCAGGAAATATTGGAAATTCTTTTATGATTGATCCCATCTTGGGCTCTATAAAAACTGCCAAAGAATTAGATCGAAGTAACCAAGTGGAATATGATTTAATGGTGAAAGCTACAGATAAAGGCAGTCCACCAATGAGTGAAATGACTTCTGTGCATATCTTTGTCACGATTGCTGACAATGCTGCCCCTAAGTTTACATCAAAAGAATACTCTGTTGAAATTAGTGAAATTACYAGCATTGGGAGTTTTGTTGGACTAGTTACAGCCCATAGTCAGTCATCAGTGATATATGAAATAAAAGATGGAAATATAGGTGATGCTTTTGATATTAATCCACATTCTGGAAGTATCATCACTCAGAAAGCCCTGGATTTTGAAACTTTGCCCATTTATACGTTGACAGTCCAGGGAACCAACATGGCTGGTTTGTCCACTAATACAACTGTTTTAGTGCATCTACTAGACGAGAATGACAACTCGCCAGTTTTTATGCAGACAGAATACTCAGGACTTATCAGTGAATCAGCTTCCCTCAACAGTGTAGTCCTGACAGACACGAATATCCCACTAGTGATCCGAGCAACTGATGCTGATAAAGAATCAAATTCCTTGCTTGTTTATCACATTGTTGAGCCATCTGTGCACAAATATTTTGCTGTTGATTCTAGCACTGGTGCTATTCATACAGTACAAAGTCTGGACTATGAAGAAACAAGTGTTTTTCACTTTACAGTACAAGTGCATGACATGGGGACACCACGTTTATTTGCTGAATATGCAGCTAATGTCACCATACACGTAATTGACATTAATGACTGCCCTCCTGTTTTCTCCAAATCATTGTATGAAGCATCTCTTCTGTTGCCCACATACAAAGGAGTAAAAGTCACCACAGTAAATGCTACCGATGCTGATTCCAGTACATTCTCACAGTTAATATACTCCATCACCGAAGGCAATATTGGGGACAAGTTTTTGATGGACTACAAGACTGGAACTRTAACTGTACAAAACACAACTCAGTTAAGAAGCCGCTATGAGTTAACCATTCGAGCTTCTGATGGCAGATTTGCCAGCTTTACCTCTGTGAAAATTAACGTGAGAGAAAGCAAGGAAAGTCAGCTCAAGTTCACCCAAGACTTCTACTCTGCCGCCGTGAAAGAGAACTCCACGGAAGCCAAAACATTAGCCGTCATTACTGCTATTGGGAATCCTATCAACGAACCTCTGTTTTATCACATCCTCAACCCAGACCGCAGATTTAAGATCAGCCGCACTTCAGGAGTGCTGTCCACCACCGGTRTACCATTTGATCGTGAACAGCAGGAGGCATTTGATGTGGTTGTAGAAGTGACAGAAGAACATAAGCCTTCAGCAGTGGCCCATGTTGTCGTGAAAGTCACTGTAGAAGACCAAAATGACAATGCACCGGTGTTTGTCAACCTTCCCTATTACGCTGTAGTTAAAGTGGATACCGAGGTGGGCCATGTCATTCGCTATGTCACTGCTGTAGACAGAGATAGTGGCAGAAATGGGGAAGTGCACTACTACCTTAAGGAACACCATGACCACTTTCAAATTGGACCCTCAGGTGAAATTTCATTGAAGAAGCAATTTGAACTTGACACCTTAAATAAAGAATATCTTGTCACCGTGGTTGCAAAAGATGGGGGAAACCCAGCTTTCTCAGCCGAAGTTATAGTCCCAATCACTGTTATGAATAAAGCCATGCCTGTGTTTGAAAAACCTTTCTACAGTGCAGAGATTCCAGAGAATATCCAGATGCACAGCCCAGTTGTCCACATACAAGCCAACAGTCCAGAAGGCTTAAAAGTGTTCTATAGCATCACCGATGGAGATCCTTTTAGCCAGTTTACCATTAACTTCAATACTGGGGTTATAAATGTCATAGCCCCTCTGGATTTTGAGTCCCACCCAGCATATAAACTGAGCATACGAGCAACTGATTCTTTGACTGGTGCTCATGCCGAAGTGTTTGTTGACATAATAGTGGAAGACATCAATGATAACCCTCCTGTGTTTGTTCAGCAGTCTTATGCTGCAACTCTGTCTGAGGCATCTGTAATTGGAACATCTGTCGTTCAAGTTAGAGCTACAGATTCTGACTCAGAACCAAACAGAGGAATTTCATACCAGATGTTTGGAAATCACAGCAAGAGTCATGATCATTTTCACATAGATAGCAGCACTGGTCTCATCTCACTAATCAGAACTTTAGATTATGAACAGTTCCACCAGCACAAGATTTTTGTAAGGGCTGTTGATAGTGGTATGCCCCAACTGAGCAGTGATGTGATTGTCATGGTGGATGTCACTGACCTCAATGATAATCCTCCACTCTTTGACCAACAAATTTATGAAGCCAAAATTAGTGAGCATGCCACTCATGGGCATTTTGTGRTGTGTGTGAAGGCCTATGATGCAGACAGTTCTGACATAGACAAGTTGGAATATTCCATTCTGTCTGGCAATGATCATAAACATTTTGTCATTGACAGTAAAACGGGGATTATCACACTCTCAAATCTGCGCCGGCACACCTTGAAGCCATTTTACAGTCTCAACATTTCTGTTTCTGATGGTGTGTTTAGAAGTTCAGCCCAGGTTCACATAACTGTAATTGGAGGCAATTTGCACAGTCCTGTTTTTCTTCAGAATGAATATGAAGTGGAACTTGCTGAAAATGCTCCCTTACATACACTGGTGATTGAGGTTAAGGCAACTGATAGGGATTCTGGTATTTACGGTCTCATTACTTACCACATTGTAAATGACTTTGCCAAAGACAGATTTTACACAAATGAGAGAGGACAGATATTTACTTTGGAAAAACTTGATCGAGAGACCCCAGCAGAGAAAGTGATCCCAGTTCGTTTAATGGCGAAGGATGCTGGAGGAAAAGTTGCTTTCTGCACAATTAATGTTATCCTTACAGATGATAATGATAATGCACCCCAGTTTCGGGCAACCAAGTACGAAGTGAACATCGGATCCAATGCTGCCAAAGGAACGTCGGTCATTAAAGTTTTTGCAAGTGATGCTGATGAGGGATCCAATGCTGATGTCACCTATGCCATTGAAGCAGATTCTGAAAGTGTTAAGGAGAATTTGGAAATTAACAAACTGTCTGGCATAATTACCACAAAGGAAAGCTTAATTGGCTTAGAAAACGAGTTCTTCACTTTCTTTGTTAGAGCTGTGGATAATGGGTCTCCATCAAAAGAATCTGTTGTTCCTGTCTATGTTAAGATACTTCCCCCAGAAACACAGCTTCCAAAATTTTCAGAACCCTTTTATACCTATACAGTTTCAGAAGATATGCCTATTGGAACAGAAATAGATCTCATCCAAGCAGAGTACAGCGGCACTGTTCTTTACAGCCTAATCAAAGGGAATACTCCTGAGAGTAATAGAGATGAGTTCTTTGTGATTGACAGGCAAAGCGGGAGACTAAAATTGGAGAAGAGTCTAGATCATGAGACAACTAAGTGGTATCAGTTTTCCATACTTGCCAGATGTACTCGTGATGATTATGAGCTGGTGGCTTCAGTAGATGTTAGTATCCAAGTGAAAGATACAAATGATAACAGCCCAGTATTGGAGTCCAATCCATATGAGGCATTTGTTGTTGAAAACCTACCAGGGGGAAGCAGAGTCATCCAGATTAGGGCATCTGACCTAGATTCAGGAGCCAATGGTCAAGTTATATACAGTCTCGATCAATCACAAAGTGTAGACATCATCGAATCTTTTGCCATTAATATGGAAACAGGCTGGATTACAACTCTAAAGGCACTGGACCATGAGGAGAAAGACAATTATCAGATTCAAGTGGTTGCATCAGATTATGGCGAAAARGTTCAGCTGTCCTCCACGGCCATCGTGGACGTTACTGTCACAGATGTCAATGACAGTCCGCCACGATTCACAGCAGAGATTTATAAAGGGACTGTGAGTGAAGACGATCCACCAGGTGGTGTAATTGCCATCTTAAGTACCACAGATGCCGACTCTGAAGAGATTAACAGACAAGTTACATATTTTATAACAGGTAAAGATTTCAAACCAATTGGTTTAATTTAAAGTGTATTAAAAGTATATTGGATATGTATTTTAGGGAAATAGGGAGTTAAAGGGATAGTTTTAGTTAATAAGTAGCTAAGTCACATCTGTTAAGCGCATTTCAGGTTCTTTACCTAAGTACCACTGTTTCCTTAGACTGACCTTCATGCTCATTCTATTGAGCTTAAATTTTATTTGGCTTAATGCTGTGTTTAAGTACGTATTTTAATGCTGTTTTTTGGGGGTAAAAAGTTGAAGTATGCCAAATTTATATTAATTATTTTTAGAATGCTTAGTCCTTTTAAACTGTAACTATACATCTTTTGTATGATTTATTTTTCCTGCTACTTATTTCTGTCTTTAATTCAACAAATTTGACTGTCRTCTTCCTTCATTGATTTATTAGGAGGGGATGCTTTGGGACAGTTTGCTGTTGAAAATGTACAGAATGAGTGGAAGGTCTATGTGAAGAAACCTCTAGATAGGGAAAAAAAGGACAATTATCTTCTGACCATCACAGCGACTGATGGGACCTTCTCATCAAAGGCTATTGTTGAAGTGAAGGTTCTTGATGCAAATGACAACAGTCCAGTTTGTGAAAAGGTAGGCTTCTCTTTTAAGTTTGAATATTAGAATTCAAATTTCTTAATCCTTTTAATAGGACTGCCATTGACCTCTCTGCTGTACTTTAGTTGTGTTTTATATTATAATCACTGTTAAAGCAGAGGTGTCCAATGATATAAGACTTGGAAAAGCTTCAGAACTATTTTGTGGAATGGTAAGTTGCTCAAAAAACTTTGTTCTTAAATTATGGACAGGAGTAGAGTTGTGTCTAACTCTAAAAATACTCTGTCAACTTTCATAAAAAGGATTCTTTAATCTGAGAATAAGATTGTTTTGGTGAAAACATTTGACCAGCTCTTCTACAAAGCTCAGTTTTGCTTTAGCAGATCATTTTGGAGCACTTGCTTTTCTACACAATAGAAAAAGAGTTTAGGGAAAAGGCTCCTGCACCTGTGGYGTACACTATTTAATGGGAGAACAACATATAACCAGAGCTGGGTGTGGTAGTGCATGCCTGTAATCCCAGCAGCTCTGGAGGCTGAGGCAGGAGGATCTTGAGTTCAAAGTTAGCCTCAGCAAATTAGCAAGACCCTAAACAACTTAGTGAAACCCWGTCTAAAACCCAAAATATAAAAGGGGTTGGGGATTGAGATGTGACTCAGTAGTTAAGTGCCCCTGGGCTCCCTGGTAACTGGTAACCATATATATCTATCTCAGAGAAGAGCTGTTCCCCCTCCAAGTTGACTATAAGAGTAGCAGGACTCAAGCAGGAGTGGTCACTGGAGCGAGGAGATGAGGAAAAGCTGTTCAGTGGCAGGTTGCGGGCTCACCCTTCAGGAGGTAGTGATACGATGATCAGGARGAGTGGAAAGGTGGTGTGTGAGGAGGGAATGGAGGTGTGGGAATAGTCGTTGATTTTGCCAGAAGTGCTAAATCCCTGGGAAGGGGGGAGAAGGTCAAACTGGATTAAGGAATGTATGGAGGATAAGATAGAGATCCTATGAACCAAGAGTTCCCTAAAGAAGTTCAGTTTGGTTGTGTTATGGCTATAATTTGGATAAGGAAGAGTGAAAGCCCATAGAGCGGGCAGAGGTGGCAGAAGAATGAAAGTTCTGAAGGYGCCACATTAAAAAAGTGGTAGCATTCAGTCCCCGCCTGAATGTGGCAGGAATGTTGTGTCAGGACTTGAACATTTACTGCYGAGAGTATTTGGAGAAAGAACAAGGTGGTGGTGAAGGTAAGCCTGGAGGGGAAATCTGTCTTAGTAGAAGCCTGTCGAATTCCATTTCAGATTTGTTTAATTTCAGGTAATGGGACTTTTAATTTTTTTTAAAAAATTGGATGTGATTTTTAGACATTTAGAGATGGTGAGATTCAGGATGGATATTAGAGAAAGGTAGATACACCTGGCAGTTGTTTTGGAAGCTGATCATTGAGTTCATTTGAGGGATACCAACAAAAAGGTGGTCAGGGAGAAGAGATGAGTTACTTGCAAAGGAAGCAGAGCTGGAAGGACAAGTCAGACTGGTGCAGTGCAGTCAGGGGGGTGAGAGAATTTTGAAGAGGAGGGGTGGTAAGCAAGGGTATAATGTAGCTGGAAAAGATGGCCGAGATGTGAAACAGACCATATCAGTTCTGCGAGTGACTTGGGAAATAGCAGTCTCTGGGTCATGATGTAAGTGGACACCTACCTGACTAAAGGTCACATGGTGTGCATTAATGAAGAAATAGCTTTGACCAGTGCAGAGGGTTAGGAGTAAAGGAAGGAAGAAGAGTGTGACAGGATAAGAGAAGACTGGTAGAGGGGACAGTGAATGTGAAGAGGGACGGAGCCGCTTGAGAATTCTGCAGATTCAGTAAGCGGAGAGGTGTGAGAGGTGTTGCCGCTGCGGAGAACAACAGAGCTGATCTCAAGCAAAGAGATGCTGGAAATTCAKTCTTGGGGAGGGAGGACTCCTGAAGGATGAGGAGTTAATTCCTATTCCTTTTTGTRCTTTTGGGTGAGAATATGGAATGGGGGTTATGCACATGTCTCCCCTTAATGGAAATTAAATGTATTTTATATTCTAGGACTTTCACATTATTTGAATGTAATACTGTAACTTCTTTGGGAGTAATAAAATTAGGACACTAAACCATTTAAATTAAACAGTATTGCAAAATATCCTGTTTCATGAGTCATAAAATATAGCTCACCTAAGGGCCTGGAGGGGTATAGCTTAGTGTTAGGGTGCTTACGTAGCATGTCCAAGGCCCAGGTTTGGATCCCGAGCATTAAAAATATATCTGTCTGTACACACACACACACACACACACACACACATATATGTAAACTTATTCAGAAAGTACATTCAACAAAATCTTAATCTGTTCCTCTTATGTTTTTGTTTATTGCATGGATTCCTTAATAATTGGAACTGGAAACAGCTGTTTACTGTGTTTGAAGGTTAAGTGGGTATGAAGAGAGAGGAGCAGGTGTCCTGTCTGTGGCTTTGGGGAAAACTTTGTTTTCTTCCATAACAATAAGGATCACTTCTCTCCCAAATACAATCATTTGGTTATGTTAACGAACACTTGCACACACAATAAATTCCTGTACTTGGAATTAAGCATATACGATATAATAAGTATTCTCTCTACTTTTTAGATAAATATGGAACACTACTTAGGTTTCTTTATAAGAATTTAAATGTGAAACTGCCTTAACAACTTACTGTTTGCTATTCTGTTGGTAAAATGTTAGGTCAGACTCTTTCAGGGACATGATATTGGTAACTCTTACTTTCTCCCTCATTTTACATGTGTTTTTWAAAGAAAAAATTTTAAAAGCTCTTTGAATCTGAACTTTAGTCATTTTCCATGTTTTCTAAGGCCAAAATGAAATTATTCCTTTCTCGTTATTCTCTTAAAAATCACTGCTGACTTTTAATTTCCTCATTCTAACGATGTTGTTTAAAATCTTTGTAGACTCTTTATTCTGACACCATTCCTGAGGACGCTCTTCCTGGGAAATTGATCATGCAGGTCTCTGCTACAGATGCAGATATCCGTTCCAATGCTGAAATTACTTACACATTGTTTGGTTCAGGGGCAGAAAAATTCAAACTAAATCCAGACACAGGTAATGATGAGAGTTTGGGACAAGTTTCATTGTATACTCTTACAAAATCATGGGTGTTGGGTGATTTAGTTTACATACAGTATTTGTCCTTTTCAAATGTACCCTGCTGCTTGGAGTTGACATCTTTTGGAAATCTAAACAGCAATTTAATGTGCCAAATTTGGGGTAAGATGGAAAAAAAAAAAAAAGAGCAACAATAGCACTTACCTTGAGCTAACAATTTAAAACTTAAAAACTGTTTATATAATTTAAAAAAAAAACTCAAAGTATACATCAAATTTTCTGCTTCATTTGTTTTATTTATAAAGCACATTTTTTAAATTTGTGACCATGAATTTATAATTTAACATTTTCCATAATTAAAATGATACATATTGTTTTATTCATCTTTATAGTTTGTATTTTGTTAAAGTTGCAATAATGTGCTGGGTACAGTGGTGCACACCTGTAATTCCAGTGCCTCGGGAAGCTGAGACAGGAGGACCGCAAGTTTAGAGCCAGCCTCAGCAAAAGTGAGGTGCTGAGCAACTCAATGAGACCCTGTCTCTAAATAAAATACAAAATAGGACTGAGAATGTGGCTCAGTGGCCAAGTGCTCCTGGATTCAATCCCTGGTACAAAAAAAAAAAGAGAGAGAAAAAATTGTGATAATGAGGTTTCTTTTAAGCTTTTTTATTTTCTCAAGTAYAGATTATGAACATATGAGTCTAATTTTTTAATCAATAAAAAGGTTCAAATTTGGTTAATTAGCTGTTTTACTTTGGGGATTGTGTGTAGCATAAGAGTCTTTGGCCTCATATTCTATGACTAGTATAGGGTTGGAAACCTGGAATTTGTGTGCTCATCCAGCTGTTGAGTCTGTTATTGAAAAAATTGTTCTCCAGAGAAAAGCTGTTATTCATATTTAGTAAGAGAAGAGAAGTAGGATGTATAGCTGCAGTTCACAATTAAATTTCAAGTGATTCCATTTATTTCTGTTTGTTTTTAGGTGAACTGAAAACATTAGCCCCCCTTGATCGGGAGGAGCAAGCAGTTTATAATCTGCTAGTCAAGGCCACAGATGGAGGGGGAAGATTCTGTCAAGCCAGWGTTGTGCTTACGTTAGAAGATGTGAATGATAACGCCCCTGAATTCACTGCTGATCCTTATACCATTACTGTGTTTGAAAACACAGAGCCTGGAACACTGTTGACCAGAGTGCAAGCCACAGATGCAGACGCAGGTATCCTCTGGAAGATTGCCCTGCCTTCAGACTGCACTGAGGGCTTAGGAGCCACTGTGTTAAACACATTCCAAATGCAGCCTCATCTTACCTCATACATGCGGAGTRGCTCCTCATTGTCATAAAATGACATCTTCAGAATAATTAATTCACTTTTAATGAATATTTGAAGCCTTAAAATTATACCCAGTAAACTTATTGCTGTAAGATGTATCTAWAAGGTTACTAACATTCTTGTTAATGACTTCAAGAATTGATCTTCATGTCTAATTGAATTAATTAGAGAAGTATTGTTTTGTTAATACACTGTTGGTGTCATAAAGATAGAACAAGCAAAAGCTGTATTATCATAGTTTATAAATCTTTTAAAATTTTTTGTGGAGACAGTAGGACTAAAATATATATTCATAGCATTTTGATAGTAAAGAATAACTTCTTTAGTCTAATACTGAACAATTAGAAGAAAACAAAAAAATACTTTTCAAATAATTCTTTGTCTTTAAAGCTAAATAATAAATAGATGTCTTTTTAAAATAGTACACTCAGTACATTGTTACTTGTAAATTGGTAATTCAGTTTACTGTTTCTCGRTCACTTTCATAMATTTTTTAAATAATATAAGCATTTTATTATTTTTAAAATTACTAATATTAATATTAATTAAACATAATTTCATATCTTCACAGGTTTGAATCGAAAGATTTCCTACTCACTAATTGACTCTGCTGATGGGCAGTTCTCCATTAATGAATTATCTGGAATTATTCAATTAGAAAAGCCTCTGGATAGAGAACTACAGGCAGTATATACCCTTACTTTGAAAGCTGTAGACCAAGGTTTGCCAAGGAGATTGACAGCTACTGGCACTGTTGTTGTATCAGTTTTAGATATAAATGATAACCCACCTGTGTTTGAATACCGTGAATATGGTGCCACAGTGTCTGAGGACATTCTAATTGGAACAGAAGTTCTTCAAGTTTATGCAGCAAGTCGGGATATTGAAGCAAATGCAGAAATCACCTACTCAATAATAAGTGGAAATGAACATGGGAAATTCAGCATAGATTCTAAAACAGGTAATTTACCATGTAAATGAGAAGAAGTTCTTTATTTCACCAAAAAGGCTAGATTTGCTAGGCACCGAACTGCATAGAGTGATGGGTCACCTGTAGTCAGTAGATGTTCAGAAAAGACGGAGCTCAAGCTTTCCTTTTGTTATTTTTTTAAAGTGTGAGAGTGGTTAAGATGACTTCAGACTGTAGCTCTACTTAATAAAATATATTTCTGGTATATCATTGTAAACTACAAGCAAATCAAAAGAGAAAATTAAAATTCTAATAGCTTAGTGATGAAGTAAAATGTCACACATTAGTAAAGGTAAGAATGGCTGATAGTAGAGGACCTTGTATAATTACCCCTTTTATTCCCCGAATTCAACATAGGTGAATTAGCTTCCCAAGTAAAACCATAGCTTTGACCTGTCAGATCTTAGTTTCTATGGTAGGTGTGTGATAATTCATTAAGTTGATTTCTTCATTATGCTAGTTATATAATAGTGGACATATTTTAGATCATACCAAAAGACTGCCAACAAGGTCAAAAGTCGGAAGTGTTATTAATCCTACTGTGTAAACATTGATGTCATCTTATAAGCCTGTTGTCTGAAGTAGCTGTCAGTCTTAGAACCCTTTAAGAAGTTGCTCTTTTTTGTAGGGTATCCTTGAAAGCTGAAAGGAGATCAGTACAGTAGAGGGAAGGGACCCAGAGAGCTGGAAAAATGATGTTGGCCAAATTATATTGTTAAACTGTGTACATGTACAAATATATAACAACAAATCCCACCATTACATGTAGATATAACACACCAATAAAAAAGGCGGGGAGGGACCTCAMTGCAATTATAAAATAAAGAAAAAGTTGTGGTATTTAATTGTATGTGACTACTTCAGGTAAAGAATAGGTGTGTAATTATGTTATTTAGACAGATATTTTAGTACATATCATAAAATCGTTTTAGGGTTCTTTTGTCCTTGTCTCTTTTTAAGTAGAATAGACAATAATGAACTGACAATGAAAGGTGTCACAGGAATTGTTAGATCAAAAAATGGATTTTTAATGATAAAATATAAGTAGAAGGTTATGTGGAGATTCTTTTGTAATGAAAAGGATGAATAGGTCTTTTAAAAAGAATGAGAAGRAAAAAAAAAAAACCTAAAAGCACAGCATGGAATTTTTTTAGAGTTTTCTTTTGTTTATTAAAATAAAGTCTGTTGTGATCTCTGGTTTGAGATACAAGAGAGAATCATTCTTATAGTATATTTTTATGGCTGGGAAAATAATTGAGAGAAATAGGCTTTAGGGTTGGGAAAATTCCTAATTTTTAATATTTGAATTAAGAAATTAGAAAACACAGCCAGGCATGATGACCCATGCCTATAATCCCAGCTGCTCAGGAGACTGAGGCAGAAGGATTGCAAGTTCAGAACCAGTCTAGGTAACTTCATCAGACCCTATCTCAAAATGAAAGGATTCAAAAAGGACTTGGGGAAGTAGCTCATTAAAGTGGTAGCATTATAAAGATTAGCAAGTAATTTTGATTTTTTTTTTAATGCAGGAGCCATATTTATCATTGAGAATCTGGATTATGAAAGCTCCCATGAATACTACCTGACTGTAGAAGCCACTGATGGAGGCACACCTTCGTTGAGTGACATGGCCACTGTGAACATTAATGTGACAGATATCAATGACAACACGCCCGTGTTCAGCCAAGACACCTAYACCACAGTGATCAGTGAAGATGCTGTTCTTGAGCAGTCTGTGATCACAGTGAGTATTTTTTTCCCCCTTACGGTTTTCTTCTTCTGGGTCTTTACAAGAATTTTTAGTTAAATCAGTCTGGTTTTTGTAGACCACTGTCCCTTCCTTAACTGTCTTCCTAAAGCAGAGTGTGATATTTTCTAGGTTATGGCTGATGATGCCGATGGACCTTCCAATAGCCACATCCACTACTCAATTATAGAAGGCAATCAGGGAAGCCCATTTACCATTGACCCCGTTAAGGGAGAAGTGAAAGTGACTAAACTTCTAGACCGAGAAACAGTAAGTGAAAAAGTTGGATTTAAATTGTTTACTAAACACCAAATCAAAAAATAGAAGTGCCTGGTATTCCTATCTGCTGGACATAATGTGAAGTACCAAAAGTTAGAACCAGCCTCCTTCTCAGGAACTGACGAGCAGGATGTAAATATTTGAAAAGCAATTGCAATACAAAAGTCTCAAGAATATAAGAAATAGGCTTCCTGCTAGTAGAAAGTTTATATTCAGGAAGAGATTGCTAATGGCTTCAACATCCTGAGATCCTTCAGGTGTTAGTTCTTTAGTTTTTTGTCACTGTGCCCAAAAAGTGGAGAAGGAAAAGTTTCTTTTGCCCTGGGCCCGAAGTGAGGCAGAACATCTTGATGGAAGAGTGGGGTAGCGGGAAGCTGCTCCATTTGTGGTGGCCAGGAAGCAGAGATAGGAAGGGGAAGGGGCCTCAGGGAAGCCCTCAGTGSCTTACCTCCTCCAGCCATGCCCCAGCGACCACAGCCACCGCCTGTTCAAGCTAGGGTGACTGATTAAGTTAACYGTAATAATCTGACATCTCACCTCTGAAGAGACCTKGGGGGACACCTCATACCCAAACAGAAAATGACACCTAACTGGAAGCTGGATTTTAAATAACAGCAGAGATTTGGAAAACCATTGGGGTCGAGAGAAGGAAATTCCCTGTAAGAAACTGCATGAATGAAAGCATGGAGAATGAAACCATGGAACACATTCAAGAGACTGTACCCAGTTCTACTGGAGAAATGTATCATAAAAAGTAGTAGAGGGACATTCAGTGAGAAGTGGTTTTAGGAACAACTTATGAGCCAGATATTCAGGATCAGAGGTTCAGGCCTGATGCTGCAGGCATTAGGAAATTATTGAATGTTTGCAATCTGATATATATTAAAAGACTTTTGGAAGATTAGTACTTCCATACGTGGAAGTATGCTTCAGAGTGGAGAGAGATGGTGGGGTGGGGTGGTGGTAGTGGTAGGAAAGGCTATTGATAATTCATCAATTGTGACACAGTAGGAGGCCAGATTAGGAAAGCAGCAGTTAAGAATTGAATGAAAACACAAAGAAAGAAACTTTGCAAAGGAAAAACTAGAATTCACAAAGCTTAGTTCATGGCTCTGTGTAGAAAGCAGCAATATCAGAAATGACTTGACTTCTATCTGTTCTGAGTGGATATTGTCAAGTTGGGAAGTTATGAGGTMTAWACTCATAGGGGCTGGAAGGAGTTAATGGACATGGTTTTTTAATTTTAAAAATTTTTAAAAAGTACATCCATAAATAACATTGACATTGTGGGGTTTTTTGYTATTGTTCTAATTAGTTATACATGACAGTAGACTGCATCTTGACGTATGGTACATAGGTATAATTTCTCATTCTTCTGGTTGCACRTGATGTAGAATCCCTCTGGTGGTGTAGTCATATATGTACATAGGGTAATGTCAGATTCATTTTACTACCCTTCCTACCCTCATACTCCTCCCCTCCCTTCACTCCCCTGTACCTAATCCAAAGTAACTATTCTTCCCTAGCTTCACTGCCCACCCCCTACTGTGTAGCATCCACTTATTAGAGAAAACATTCTTTGGGTTTGGGGGATTRGCTTATTTCACTTAGCATAATATTCTCCAACTTCATCCATTTATTGGCAAATGCCATAATTTCATTCTTTTTAAAGACTAAGTAATATTCCATTGTGTATATATACCACATTTTCTTTATCCATTCATCTGTTGAAGGACACCTAACTTCGTTCCATGGTTGTAGCTATTGTGAGTTGAGTTGCTGTAAACATTGATGGGGCTGGGTCACTGTAGTGTGCTGATTTTAAGTCCTTTGGGTATAAACCAAGGAGTGGGATAGCTGGGTCAAATGGTGGTTCCCTTCCAAGTTTTCTAAGGAATCTCCATACTGCTTTCCAGAGTGGTTTTACTAATTTGTAGTCCCACCAGCAATGTATGAGTGTACCTTATCTCCCACATGCTTGCCAACATTTATTGTTGCTTGTATTCTTGATAATTGTCATTGTGACTGCAGTGAATGAAATTTTAGGAAAACTGCTTTCTGTGTTATTACTGAAGCAACAGCATTTGAGATAGACTGACACTTTTTTTTTTTTAACCTAATCATTTTTATTACTTCTGGCTTCTTTCTGTTCATGGAACTGCATATTTTTAAAGATAAAACATTTTAACAAGATGAATGTGTTTTTGAGAAGCATTGGAGAGTCTAATCATCATTGGTATCTTTTTCTCTTGAGAAAAACACATTTGTAGTTCACTCATTTGTAGGTTAGGGAATTCCCAGATACWGGATACAACAAATGACTACAGCRAATTTTGACTCGTTGGCTTTATGAAAATGAAGGTGCATTTTCTGTCTCTCCCCACCCCCCACCCCTCCCAATCCCCAAAAGATTTCAGGTTACACACTTACGGTTCAAGCTTCTGATAATGGCAGTCCACCCAGGGTCAACACGACGACTGTGAACATTGACGTGTCTAACGTCAATGACAATGCCCCCGTCTTCTCCAAGGG